TGACAACATGCTGACAAAATCCTGGGCAAAATCTCCACCTATTTCCCCCTCTGACGCTCTTACAGATATTCGGGAGCATCACCTTTCACACCCTCGTGTTTTTACTGAGTGGCTTGTACCCACCAGGGCTAGTGGCTGATGTTCATCCGGCAAGGGCCAGAGGCTAACGGGAACAATATGGCAGCATGGGGTTCCACTAGCGGGAGGGGCCACGGTGCCCGATTTTAAAGGTGGGACCATGTGGTTGGTGAGCTTGAGAGGCACTGTCTGATTTCAGAGGCCCTTTTAGTTAGCCGTTGGGCTGTATTTGTACCAGTCCTGACTGGTGGGTATAGAAGCAACATCCCTTTTCCAGAACCGAGGTAGGGAACTGTCTCAAGTTAATTGGGCCACGCAGCTTCCTCTCTTCACGGTCTTCCAGTTACTTTAGATTTTCTAGTTCCAGGAGGCCATCCAGAGTGTGCGTGCAGGTGGTGGGGATCACCACGGCATCACGGAGCCCTCAGTCAGCCTAAAAGACCTTACACCCAATCCTGTATCCCTTGCCCTAACAGGGACCCAGAGCCCTCCCCAGGCCCTGCACGGGGCTCTCCAGGTACTCAGTCTGCTCCCTGGGCCAGGCCCGTGACCAAGGGCATGGAAGGAAATGTTGAGTGATGTGGGGGTGGGGTGGTGGGAGGGGGCGTGCTCACTCACACCAAGTGAGTTTGAAGTCCAAGGTGAAAGCAGGTTTATTAAGGCCGGGCGCATCAGCTTAACTGGAATCTCAGCACTTGGGAGGCCGAGGAGGGTGGATCACTTGAGGTCAGGAGTTCAAGACTGTCCTGGTGAACATGGTGAAACCCCCTCTCTACTAAAAATACAAAAAAGTAGCCCGGCATGGTGGCAGGCACCTGCAATCCCAACTATTTGGGGGGCTGAGGTGGGAGAATCACTTGAACCCGGGAGGCAGAGGTTGCAGTGAGCCGAGATGGCACCACTGTACTCCAGGCTGGGTGACAGAGCGAGACTCCATCTCAAAAAAAATATAAAGGAATAAAAGTTAGACCATAGAGGGTAACTTGCTGTGGCGCTGGTGGGAGTGTGTCAGTGAGGACGACCAGAGGTCACTGTCGTGGTCATTTTGGTTTTGGTGGGTTTTGGCCGTCTTCTCTACTGCGACCGGTTTTATCAGCAGGGTCCTTATGAGCTGTATTTTGTGCTGAACTCATCCTGTGGTTGAGAATGCCGTGACCACCTGAGAATGCAGCCCGGTAGGTTCCAGCCCCATTTTACCCAGCTCCTATTTAAGATGGAGTTGGTTTGGTTCACACGCCTCTGACACCTTTACCTCTCTGGGCCTCTGTGTTCCCATCAGGACCTCGGAGCCTCCCAGGGCACAACCCCGGCGCGCTGGGAGCCTCTGTGTACGCACAGCCTGGATGGGGGCTCAGTGCGGACTCTCTCGTTGGGTGACGGTTGGCCAGTGCTAGGCCAAGCTGGGCTAGACACGGGGCTGGCGGGGAGCGCCTCTACTGTAGGGAGAGGTGGGGGTGCAGTGTGTGCAGGGGTGAGAAGCCCCAGCTCGGAGGGCCTGGCCCCTGATGCTGGCGCCCCTGGCTGGGGCCTGAAGAGCTGGTGCCAACGGCCTGACCAGCAGGGGTCTGACCTGGCCTTTGGCCCTCTGTCTCCATCGCCCTGCACCTCTCAATGACTTTTTTGTTTGTTTGTTTGAGACAGAGTCTTGCTCTGTTGTCCAGGCTGGAGTATAGTGGTGAGATCTTGGCTCACTGCCAGCTCTGCCTCCCAGGTTCAAGTGATTCTCCTGCCTTCAGAGTAGCTAGGGTTAGGTGCGTGCCACCATGCCTGGCTAATTTTTGTGTTTTTAGTAGCGATGGGGTTTCACCAGGTTGGTCAGGCTGGTCTAGAACTCCTAGCCTTGTGATCCACCCACGTATTTTTAGTAGAGATGGGGTTTCACCATGTTGGCCAGGATGGTCTCAATCTCTTGACGTCATGATCCGCCCACCTCAACCTCCCAAAATGCTGGGGTTACAGGCATAAGCCACCTCGCCCAGCCATTCCCTGTACCTCTTGTCACTCCTCACTTCCTAAGATAAGTCATGGGGGATCCTGGTGATGGGAGCCATGGAGGGTCTTAGAGCAGGGGAGTGGCCACAGCAACCGGCTAACTAGGTACAGCTCCCTGGCTACGGGGCGGGAAGTGGTGAGCCTGGAGGCAGGGGCAGGCAGCAGGGGTGTGCCAGGCCCGGCTGACAAAGCCCAGGACATGGGCTGCAACTGTGAGGCCCGTCTCAGGGGCCAGGAGCATGCTTTGGGCCTGAGGTCACCCGGGTATTGGGCTGTGGCCAACTTGGCCCCATAAATAGTTTCTATTCCTGGGTCTTGGGCTCTGACACCAAATATGGTGTGGCCCGAGTCTGGCACCCCCAGCTGTGGTCCAGTGGCATCTCCTGCCCCTCCAGGTGGGCCCAGACCCCACCCACACCATGGAGGCAGATCATTCCAGTACTGGGTCCCCCGAGGGGCCAGGGACCTGTGTTGCTGCTCCTGGTCCTCCAACTGTCCACCCATCCTTGTGATTCACGTGGGGTTAAAATTACCCAGGACCGAAATAGCCCCTTTCCCTGCAGAAGAAAGACGGGGCAGGGGGACACCGTGTTTTGTTTTAACACCACTGTCCTGTCCTTGCTACCCCCATCCCAGGCAGCTCACCTGGCCTCTGACCCCACAGCGATCTGCAGACTCCCTGGTTCACTCTCAGTGCTCACTCACTCACTGATTCATTCATTTACTGATCATTTATTAATTTGTTTCCTTTCTTTTTTAAAGGTGGGGTTTCACCACGATGGCAAGGCTGGTCTTGAACTCCTGACCTCAGGTGATCCACCCACCTCAGCCGCCCAAAGTGCTGGGATTACAGGCGTGAGCCACCACGCCCGGCTACAGATCATTTATTAATTCACTTGGTGGTTAATTCATGTAATCACTGACTATTTATTGACTACATACTAAGAGCTGGGCACTGTTCTGTCATTCTAGATCTGAACAAAACACAAAACATAAGGCCAAGCGCAGTGGCTCGTGCCTGTAATCGCAGCGCTTTGGGAGGCCAAGGCAGGCGGATCACAAGGTTGGGAGTTCAAGACCAGCCTCGCCAATATGTTGAAACCCATCTCTACTAAAAATACAAAAATTGGCTGGGCATGGTGGTGGACACCTGTAGTCCCAGCTAGTCGGGAGGCTGAGACAGGAGAGTCACTCAAACTGAGGCAGCAGAGGTTGCAGTAAGCCAAGATCGCACCACTGCACTCCAGCCTGGGTGACAGCAAGACTCTTGTCTCAAAAAAAACAACCAAAAAACAAAAATACAAAACACAAAACATAGCTATCCTCATGGGGTTATGTTCCAGACGCACAAACAAGTAGGATGTACAGCGTGTTAGAATAAGTGCGAAGATGAGTAACCTAACGAGGGGCTCTGAAGCAATGGGGGGGGAGTGGGAATTTCAGGGGGCCCAGGGAGGACCTGGTGGGAAGGGGACTTTTGAGCGGACACCTGAGGGAACAGCCTTCCAAGCAAGGCCCTGGCGGCTGCACGAGGCCTGAGAAACGGGCGGCCTGGCGTGGCTGGGGCGCAGGCGGCGGGGAGAGCAGCAGAATATGAGGTCAGGTTGTGGGGGACGCGTGGGGCCCAGCGGATCAGGGCCTCCCACATCACGCAGGGTCAGAGCTGAGAATGTCGTGGCCGAGGCATTTGTAAGGCATCCTCCTGCCTTCGAGGGAGTGGGTCAGAGTGAGCCTTTTTCCCACGTGCCTGCCGCGTGCTGAGCTCCGAGCCGGGCAGCAGGGAGGCAAGACGCAGGTGCACGCGAGACGCTTGTCCCCGTGGTGCTGACAGAGGTCTGCAGCCACCGCGTCTCCTCCGTCTGACGTGCTCGTCCTCTGCGCTTAACCAAGTGTCAGCTCCCCGAGGGAGTCACAGCTTTGTCTGTTTCCTTTTTTTTTTTTTTTGAGATGGAGTTTCGCTCTTGTTGCCCAGGCTGGAGTGCAATGGCGCGATCTCGGCTCACCGCAACCTCCGCCTCCTGGGTTCAAGCGATTCTCCTGCCTCAGCCTCCTGAGTAGCTGGGATTCCAGGCACGCGCCACCACACCCGGCTAATTTTGTATGTTTAATAGAGATGAGGTTTCTCCATTTTGGTCAGGTGGGTCTCGAACTCCTGACCTCAGGTGATCCCCGCCTTGGTCTCCCAAAATGCTGGAGCCACTACGCCTGGCTTTTTATTATTTTATTTTATTTTATTTTATTTTATCTATAGAGATGAGGTTTCACCTTGTTGGTCAGGGTGGTTTCGAACTCCTGACCTCAGGTGACCCACCCGCCTCGGCCTCCCAAAGTGTTGGGATTACAGGCGTGAGCCACCTTTTTTTTTTTTTTTTTTTAAAGGTAGAGACTGCATTGGAACAACAACAACAAAAAAGTCTGCCTCTGTCACCCAGGCTTGGGTGCAATGGCGCAATCTCGGCTTACCACAACCTCCGCCTCGTGGGTTCAAGCAGTTCTCCTGCCTCAGCCTCCTGAGTAGCTGGGATTACAGGTGAGCACCACCTCACCTGGCTAATTTTTGTACTTTCAGTAGAGACAAGGTTTCGCCATGTTGGCCAGGCTGTTCTCAAACTCTTGACTGCAAGTGATCAGACTTCCTTGGCCTCCCAAAGTGCTGCAATCACAGGCATGAGCCGCCCACCAGACCCGACCTCTGTTTCTACATGGTGCTCCCACCAGGCTGAGAGCTCCTTCGGGGCAAGGCTGTGTCTGACTCACCCCTTCTCCTGGGTGCAGGGCCTGCCCTGCCCCTGAGTGTCCCCTGAGAAGTGGAGCAAGTGAATGAATCGGTGAGCGCATGAGTCCCAGGCCTGATCTGTGTGTGTGGCCAGGGATACGAGGCCTCTGCGAGCCGGCGACCTGTCTCACTCTCTTCTTGCCATCTTTTGCAGATGGATTTGGAGGCGCTGCAAGTGTGTGGAAGGCCCGTGTTTGTGTTGGCAGAGAAGGTCGGCTGCTGAGCCAGGGCGTGTCTCCCGGAGGCCTTCGGGCTGCCAGGATCCCCACCTCCCTGCCATGGGCTGCCAAGGCTGGTCAGTTACCAACCAGTGACATCATCAAGGTTCCCTGCTCTCTACCCTGGTAAGGGCCCAGCCTACATCACCAAGCCCCAGGCTCCCAGCAGCACCCTCAGCCCGTGTGAGATTGGCATTCCAGCTTCTGCCTGTCCCTGGGAGGGGAACGACTCCCAGCTCCCCTCAGTGCCCAGGTTGTGCCCAGGTTCTCCGGCACCTAACGCAGAAATGATGCGAGTGCCCCCGGGCTTGCTGAGGGCCAGAGGGGGTAAGTCTGTCACAGAGCACTTAGAAATCATTGAGTCATTGCTGGTCCCGCAGGCTGTTAACAGTCGATATGGTTCAGGTCAGCTTGTACCAAGTTCCTTCAACACACGGGGTACACTGGCCAGCCACCTCTCCCAGGCAGGGCGGTGCAGTGGTGAGAGCAGGGACCTCAGCCAGGCCGCCTGGGATCTGACTCCTGTGCTGTCACTGCTGGCTGTGGGACTCTGCAGTGGGTACAGCGCTTCTATACCTCCATTTTCTTATCTGTAGGGTGGGGGTGGTGATTGTCACCCCAAAGGGTCGCTGTAAGGGGCCACACATGTTCCCATGTGTGAGATGCTGAGAGACTCACCGGCATGGACGGGAGGGACAGCCAGTGTTTAGTGAATTGTGAATGAATGGATGTTACCCTTGAGTGGGCTCCAGCATCCTGTCCTGCAAGTGGGAAGACTGAGGCTCAGAGAGCTCAGTAACTTGTCCCAGGTCACACAGCTGGTTCAGGCAGAGTTGGGGTCCCATGCCTCCCAGGTGTTAACACAGCCTTGCCCCCAGGAGCAGGGTCCAAGCCTGTCTTGTTCCCCCAACCACCTGCGAGGGACCTGGTGGACATCGCCAGGAAAGAGTGTGGTCCAGGGCAGGAGGACCAGTCAGAGTCACGGCCTGCAGCACGACCTCCCTGGTGCTCTCCCACCTGTGTCTATGAGAAGCACCACCCAGGGTCTGGGCTGGGCAGCCAGGGGACTAAAAGACCCCCTTGTGTCTGGGGCAGAGGGCTCTGGGACGCAGTAGGCCTCCCATTCTTTGTGCCTGGAGCAGGCACCCTGTGAGTGTACCTGCTGGGCCAGCCCTTAGCAAGCCAGCGCCCAGGCCTGCCGGAGCCCCAGGCCTCATGCTGAATGTCCGCAGGCCCACTCAGTGGCCTGCCCTCAGACGAGCCTCAGGTCTGGCTCGTGGAGCTGACCTCAAATCCCAGGCTGCCCCTCCTAACAGAGTCCCGTGTGTCACATGGCAAAGCCATCACTTCTGACAGTTCTTACACGGACCAGACTCTGGCCTGGGCTTGTGATGGTGGCATGCCATGGGTGGCACTGGCCTGGTCTTTGGAGGAGCTCACAGGTGTGTCACAGGGAGTGGAAGGGACCCTGCTCAGACCCCAGTCCACGGCTCACTGTGCTCCCATTTGGTTTTTTATTTTTTTTATTTTTTTTTATTTGAGACGGAGTTTCGCTCTTGTTGCCCAGGCTGGAGTGCAATGGCGCAATCTCGGCTCACCGTAACCTCCACCTCCTGGGTTCAAGCAATTCTCCTGCCTCAGCCTCCCGAGTAGCTGGGATTACAGGCACACGCCACCATGCCCAGCTAATTTTTAGTATTTTTAGTAGAGACGGGGTTTCACCATGTTGACCAGGATGGTTTCGATCTCTTGACCTCGTGATCCACCTGCCTCAGCCTCCCAAAGTGCTGGGATTACAGGTTTGAGCCACCGCGCCCGGCTTTTTTTTTTTTTTTTTTGAGACAGAGTTTCGCTCTTGTTACCCAGGCTGGAGTGCAATGGTGCAATCTCGGCTCACCGCAACCTCTGCCTCCTGGGTTCAGGCAATTCTCCTGCCTCAGCCTCCTGAGTAGCTGGGATTACAGGCACGCGCCACCATGCCCAGCTAATGTTTTGTATTTTTAGTAGAGACGGGGTTTCACCATGTTAACCAGGATGGTCTCGATCTCTTGACCTTGTGATACATCCGCCTCGGCCTCCCAAAGTGCTGGGATTACAGGCGTGAGCCACCGCGCCCAGCCATGGTTTTTGGTTTTTTTTTTTTAGATGAGTCTCACTCTGTTGCCAGGCTAGAGTCCAGTGGCACAGTCTCAGCTCACTGCCACCTCTGGCTCCCAGGTTCAAGCCTTTCTCAGCCTCCTTAGTAGCTGGGACTACAGGTGCGTGCCACTACATCCAGGTAATTTTTGTATATTTTTTTCCTTTGTTTCTCATTTTAACCGATTCTGCAATAAATTTTTGTAATTTTAGTAGAGAAGGGATTTCACCATGTTGGCCAGGATGGTCTTGATCTCTTGACCTTGTGATCTGCCGGCCTTGGCCTCCCAGAGTGTTGGGATTACAGGCATGAGCCACTGCACCTGACCAGTGCTCCCGTTTTTTAGGTGAGCAGCTGGCAGGCTAGAATTCAAGCCTTGGCCTCTGTGGCCCCGGGAGCCCATGGGCTTGGAAGCTGGGCTTGGCTCTGGCTGATGGTCACGGGAAGCGTTTAACTTGGGGTTGGGAATGCCAGTGGCCTCCCTGATGGCAGGTGCTCCTGTGTTACAGACCAGCCAGTTCCTGCTGGAAGCCCCTGGTCCGATCTGGGAAGATCATGCCCAAGCCCCCCGACCTCCTGCTGCGGCTGCTCCGGGGCGCCCCAAGGCAGCGGGTCTGCACCCTGTTCATCATCGGCTTCAAGTTCACATTTTGCGTCTCCATCATGATCTACTGGCACATCGTGGGAGAGCCCAAGGAGCAGGGGCAGCTCTATAACCTGCCAGCAGACATCCCCTGCCCCACCTTGGCACCCCTCACCCCTCCCTCCCACAGCCCCCCTCCGGGCGACATCTTCTTCCTAGAGACTTCGGACCGGACCAACCCCAACTTCCTCTTCATGTGCTCGGTGGAGTCGGCTGCCAGAACTCACCCTGAATCCCGTGTGCTGGTCCTGATGAAAGGGCTTCCAGGTGGCAACGCCTCCCTGCCCCGGCACCTGGGCATCTCGCTTCTGAGCTGCTTTCCGAACGTCCAGATGCTCCCGCTGGACCTTCGGGAGCTGTTCCGGGACACGCCCCTGGCTGACTGGTACGCAGCGGCGCAGAGGCGCTGGGAGCCCTACCTGCTGCCCGTGCTGTCCGATGCCTCCAGGATCGCACTCATGTGGAAGTTCGGTGGCATCTACCTGGACACGGACTTCATTGTCCTCAAGAACCTGAGGAACCTGAGCAACGTGCTGGGCGCCCAGTCCCGCTACGTCCTCAACGGCGCCTTCCTGGCCTTCGAGCGACAGCACGAGTTCATGGCGCTGTGCATGCGGGACTTCGTGGATCACTACAACGGCTGGGTCTGGGGCCACCAGGGCCCCCAGCTGCTCACGCGCGTCTTCAAGAAGTGGTGCTCTATCCGCAGCCTCACCGAGAGCCATGCCTGCCGCGGGGTCACCGCCCTGCCCCCCGAGGCCTTCTACCCCATCCCCTGGCAGGACTGGAAGAAGTACTTCGAAGACATCAGTCCCCAGGAGCTGCCCCGGCTGCTCAACGCCACCTATGCCGTCCACGTGTGGAACAAGAAGAGCCAGGGCACCCACTTCAAGGTCACGTCCAGGGCGCTGCTGGCCCAGCTTCATGCCCGCTACTGCCCCACGACGCACGAGGCCATGAAGATGTACTTGTGAGGGGCCCACCAGGCCACCTCCCCGACCCGCTCCCGATGGAGGGGGCACTTGACCGCCCTTCCCGGGGAGGCGAGATTGGGGGCCTGGGAGAGGGAGGTCTGAGCTGCTCCCCGACCCGCTCCCGATGGAGGGGGCACTTGACCGCCCTTCCCGGGGAGGCGAGATTGGGGGCCTGGGAGAGGGAGGTCTGAGCTGCCACCGGGCTTAGGCTGTTGCAGAGGAGCAGCTGTGGGAGCAGGCCCGGTGGGAGGCTGTGGACACCCTCAAGACAGTGCCCTGTGTCAGGGCAGGGCTGACACGTGGCGCCAGGGCCAGCAGAGTGAGCTCAGTGAGTGCCCCGGGACTTCTAGGTGACAGGCGGGAAGGATAAACCTTAGGGCACCCCTGGGTGGCGTGGGAAGCCAGGCAGTTTGGGCAGGGGTTCCGGAGAGGAGGGGAGGCGGGAAGAGGTAGGAAGCGGTGGGGAGTCAGGGGAGAGCCAGCCCCAGGGGCCCGGGTGGGGAGTGCTTTTCTCTTTTCTGGTTTTGGTTCCTCTGTCGGAGGGGCCCTCAGGGACTGAGCAGGGCAGAGGCCCAGCAGCGCCAGCCTGGGGAGCCCGTTAGGGGCAGCCCCTGCCCACCCCATCCTTCCTCCTCTCCAGAGATGCAGGGGGCGCATGTCCCCTCTGCCCATTCACTCACACAAGGGGTGGGGGTTCTCTAAAGAACACGCCCCCCCCATTATCAACCCAGGAGAATAATAAACGGAATACAAGTGACCGGCCGTCACCTAGTGCCCTCTGATTGCTGAAGTGCGTTCAGGCTCACAGCCTCCTCCGACCAGGAAGCCGCTGGGTGGGCGGTGACTTCCACGCGGCCTCCCAACCTGCCCTGCACGGAAGGGCTCGGGACCTGGCTTCTAGCCCGGCGTCCCTAGTGATGGGGAGCCCCTGAGGTGGGGCACGGGGGAGGCCTGTTTTTCCCTCCTTTTTCAAGGCTCGCAGACACCCGAGGATGCGTCCCACCAGCACAACCACCCCCATAACAACCCTGAATCTGTTTCACATAAATGGAACCAAATGAGGACCCTGAGGAGCCTACCGCTGGAGCAGGGGTGAGCCACAGCCCGTCCAGGGAGGGGTCCCAGCGAGGGAGCTGTGAGGGCCTGTGGGTGGCTCCAGGGCTGGGCCACAGGAGTATCTGCTCCCCACAGGGCGAGGCCCCAGCTGGTTTGCATTGTGGAAGCGGTCTGGGCGTTCCCACCAGGCTGGAAGAGAGTTCCCCAGCGGGCTGCTTTTCGGCAGCTGAAGCAGGAGATGTTCATTAGGCTCTATTTTCTGCCCACAGACCATCTTGGGTGGCATGGGAAGGAGGTGAGCTCTCTGGCTCTTAGGAGGATTCAAGAGTAGGTTATGTGTTTTGGGTTTTGGGATTTTTTTTTTTTTTTTTTTTTTGAGACGGAGTTTCGCTCTTGTTACCCAGGCTGGAGTGCAATGGCGCGATCTCGGCTCACCGCAACCTCCTCCTCCTGGGTTCAGACAATTCTCCTGCCTCAGCCTCCCGAGTAGCTGGGATTACAGGCACGTGCCACCATGCCCAGCTAATTTTTTGTATTTTTAGTAGAGACGGGGTTTCACCTTGTTGACCAGGATGGTCTCGATCTCTCAACCTCGTGATCCACCCACCTCGGCCTCCCAAAGTGCTGGGATTACAGGCTTGAGCCACCGTGCCCGGCCGGGTTTTTTTTCTTTTGAGACAGAGTCTCGCTCTGTCACCCAGGCTGGAGTGCAGTGGCCCCATCTCGGCTCACTGCAACCTCCACTTCCCGGGTTCAAGTGCTTCTCCTGCCTCAGCCTCCCAAGTAGCTGGGACTAAAGGCACCCACCACCATACCGGTTAACTTTTTTGTATTTTTAGTAGAGACGGGGTTTTGCCATGTTGGCCGGCTGGTCTCGAATTCCTGACCCCAAGTGATCTGCCTGCCTCGGCCTCCCAAAGTGCTGGGAGTATGTACAGGCAGGAGTCGCTGCGCCCTGCCCTTAGGGCAGACGTCCCCAAACTTTTTACACAGGGGGCCAGTTCACTGTCCCTCAGACCGTTGGAGGGCCGCCACATACTGTGCTCCTCCCACTGACCACCAATGAAAGAGGTGCCCTTAGCCGGGCGCGGTGGCTCAAGCCTGTAATCCCAGCACTTTGGGAGGCCGAGGTGGGTGGATCACGAGGTCAAGAGATCGAGACCATCCTGGTCAACATGGTGAAACCCCGTCTCTACTAAAAATACAAAAAATTAGCTGGGCATGGTGGCGCGTGCCTGTAATCCCAGCTACTCAGGAGGCTGAGGCAGGAGAATTGCCTGATCCCAGGAGGCAGAGGTTGCGGTGAGCCGAGATCGCGCCATTGCACTCCAGCCTGGGTAACAAGAGCGAAACTCCATCTCAAAAAAAAAAAAAAAAAAAAAAAAAAGAGGTGCCCCTTCCTGAAGTGCGGCCGGGGGCCGGATAAATGGCCTCAGGGGGCTGCATGCGGCCCGCGGGCCGTAGTTTGGGGACACCTGCCTTAGGATTTTTAAGTTGGCCAAAGTGTGGAAATCCTTCACTGGCTGAAGAGTGCAGGGTGAAATCCTGGGACAGGGGGGTGAGGAAACTGTGTTTCCTGATTTCATTTATCTGGGGTGGTGGGGGCAGTCTTTAAACTCCTCAGCATCCGATGTTTCACAGGAATTTGGGATCTGAAAAACATCTTAAGGTCATGCCTGTAATCCCAGCACTTTGGGAACCTAAGGTGGGTGGATCACCGGGGATCAGGAGTTCAAGACCCACCTGGCCAACACGGTGAAACCCCATCTCTACTAAAACTGCAAAAATGAGTCAGGCATAGTGGCGGGCACCTGCAATCCCAGCTACTCTGGAGGCTGAGGCAGGAGAGTCGTATGAACCCGGGAGCTGGAGGTTATAGTGCTCTAAGATCACACCCGCCACTGCCCTCCAGCCTGGGTAACAGAGCAAGACTTGGTCAAAAAAAAAAAAAAAAAAAAAAATTATGTGCATAAATGTCTGCTTAGGGCAGAGAGGTGGGTAGAAAGTGCCAGTTCCCAGGGAGGGTGCTGTTGACTCCTCATCCACAGCCATTCTCCTCCCCCTTCTTTTTTGTTAAGGGAACCCCAGTTTTGTTCGACCCTCAGGTAGCGTAGGGCTGTAGAGGACGTGGGCCCTCCCTCAGCCCTGGGGGTGAATCTCCACTGGTCTAAGGCAGTCCTAGCTGTTCCAGTCCCTTCCTGGTAATTGGGGTGGAAACGGGCGTGCAATGCTATTCTGGCCAATGAGACGGAAAGTCAGCTGGAAAAGGGGGTGTCTGAAAAAATTTTCATAGAAAAGAAAGCAACATTTCAGAATTTGGCATAAGGGTGTAATGGTCAGCACAGTGGCAGCCTTCTCGAGGCCGTGAGGGGACAAGTCTGAGATCAGAAGTCACCACACCAGATCCTTGAAGACACAGAGATCTCAACGAACTGCTGAATTAACCAACCCTGCAGGTGGCCTATCCCGACTCCTTGTCTGTCACGTGTGTTAGATACCGTTTGCTGTCCTCAAGTGTTCGTTCTTCCTGCAGTCCTTAGGGACAGGACACACTGAGTTCTAGGCGGGTGTGTCACCTCCCGTTGGCAGCTGGCCGCAGCCGTGTGACTGAGTCGAGGCCAATGGGATGTGACAGAAGTGATGTGTGCGAGTCAGGGATGGCCTCAGACATTTGCCTTGGACACTCCTCCCTGCTTCCCACTGGCTGGAGCATGGCAGCAACTGGAGCCCTTTGCAGGGACATTTTGGGGGTGGCGGAGTGGCCCCAGTGGCCTTGGAGCACTCACCCTGGGACTGTGATGTGAGACAAACAATCTTCTTTTTTTTCTTTTTTCTTTTTTTTTTTGAGATGGAGCTCCGCTCTGTTGCCCAGGCTGGAGCACAGTGGTGCAATCTCAGCTCACTGCCACCTCCACCTCCTGGGGTCAAGCGATTCTCCTGCCTCAGCCTCCCAAGTAGCTGGGACTACAGGTGTGCACCACCATACCTGGCTATTTTTTTTTTTTTTTTTGAGATGGAGTTTCACTCGTTGCCCAGGCTTTAGTGCAATGGCGTGATCTCGGCTCACTGCAACCTCCGCCTCCTGGGTTCAAGCGATTCTCCCACCTCCTCCTCCGGAGTAGCTGGAATTACAGGCATCAACCACCACGCCCAGCTAAGTTTATATTTTTTGGAGTTTTCTCCATATTCATCAGGCTGGTCTTGAAATCCCGGCCTCAGATGATCTGCCCGACTCAGCCTCCCAAAGTGCTGGGATTACAGGCATGAGTCACAGCGCCAGACCTAATTTTTTTATTTTTAGTAGAGACAGGATTTCACTATGTTGGCCAGGCTGGTCTTCAGCCAACTCTTGGTCTCAGGTGATCTGACTGCCTTGGCCTCCCAAAGTTCTGGGATGACAGGTGGGAGCCATCGTGCCTGGCCCGGCCTCGTTTCTCTCCTTGGAAGTTGGTGGGGGCTGGGGCTGGGTTCTGAGTCTTGACGGTGGACCACCGCTGGGTGGAATGTCATTCCCTCTGAGCTCAGGTCTCACTTCCCCTCGGTTTCCTGCTGCTGCTGCAGCCGCCTTGGAAGGGGATGCTCCTCCCGCCCCGCATCGCAGCACAGGTCACACCTGAGTGTGGTTAGGGACTGAAGCCTGATCCCACACTGACGCCCAGCCTCGCAGCGGAATTCCCAGCACGCCTTGCACTGGGCTGGTCCAGGTTAGAACAAGCAGAGACTTAGGAGCAAGTGAAGCATGAAGCCAGACTTCCAGGAACACAGGGGCTCCACGCACCCCCGATGTCTGGTAGGCACTCAGAGGAGGACGCTACAATTTAATATTTAAACAAGAAGTTGAATATTGATATACCAAGCAGGGGAAATTATTTTCCCTCCCCTAGAGCTGCTGGGAAAGCAACTCCCTGCTCGCCTGTGCCTGGCCAGCTGGGAAGATTCCCATCACTGACAGGACTCCGGCCCCAGGGCCCCTGTTGGGCCTTGCAGTGCCCCCCAGTAAAGGTTGGGTCCACCTCTTTCTCAGTCCTGGCCAAAAACATTTGTGAACACACCCACTAGAAACAAGCCAGGAACAAACCGCAGCTCTGAGGATCTGATTACATTTCCCCAGGGCAGCTTTCCTCAGAGCAAGCGCCCCTCCCTCCTTTCCCAGAAGTCACTTGCCCAACAACTGTTCCTCCTCCTGCTCCTGCAAGGTAAGGGGGGGCAGCCTGAGGCAGCCAGGCCCGCGGGCGACAGCCAGCTAGGTTGGGGTGGGGGGCTGGACAAAGTGCAGGGTCCCTCGAATCCTCCTAGGCAGAGGGCAGGGACCAGATTCCTCCGGTAGCTGTGGGGGCTCCAAGGGGGACACTGGACTCTGGTCTTTGGCTGTTGGCACAAGGAGGTGGAGAGTGGTCACTGCCACCCAAGGCGGGCACTGGACCCCGGTTCCCCAGCCGGCCTCCTTCCTACCCTGCGCACCGGACAGTGAAGGTATGGGTTCAAATCTTAGCACTGTCACCTACTTGCTGAGCCTCTGTTTCTCCTGTGTGGAAAGTAGAGGTGTCATAATCACACCAATCTGTCGTAGAGAATGTGCTTTGTGCCAGGGGCTGGGCTGGCTCGTTTGATCATTACGACTATGCTGGGAGGGGGCACCACCCATCTCTTTGCAAAAGAAGAACACACAGTTCTGGCCAGGGGTCAGGAGGCCGGGAGGCAGGAACAGGATCTGTGAGGCCCCTGCTCGGCCCTGGGTCTTAGGCCCCTTGCTCCCAGCCCAGAGGTGCAAGAGCATAGCACCATGACAGGCAGAGGCTGGGGTCCTCACCTGGCACCTTCTCGCCTTCCAGCTACTACCCTGGCCCTGCCTATGCCCGTCCTTACTGCTTCTGTTCTCCAGGATGCTGCTATTACTTCTGGCCAGCAGGATCTTGGCCCATGTACAACAGCTGCATTAAGAGGCTGGGCTGAGGGCCGGGCGCGGTGGCTCATACCTGTAATCCCAGCACTTTGGGAGGCCGAGGCGGGTGGATCACGAGGTCAAGAGATCGAGA